AATTATTGTGAAAAATTATTTTACAAGACATTTCATACTTTATCAAAATAATTTTATCAAAATATTTCTCTGTCGTAAATTAACGAATTTTTTGTAGCTTTATATTAATATTTTCATATTCAGAATAAAAACAAATTATGCGGTTTCAGTGGATAAAAAAATATTATGGTTCCATTAATTTAAAATAACAGATATCTACTATAAAGTAGATAGCTTATGAAAAAATGCATGTAATAAAATTTACACGTATCATATTTCCTTACTTTAAAATGTTAAATTTTTTGTTCGACATACTTGTTTTTTCAATGCATTATTTTAGAATGTCTAGGAGTTCTTTTCCAAGACTTTCTCCTTACCAAATTCAATGATCTTCGTGTAAATTTGTTTACCTAACATCAATAGAGTAGTTTATAAATAAACACATTCATATATTCATTAAGATTGAATTAGTTTAATAAATTTTCCTTCTCTCATCAAAATTGGCACTAGTAACGTTTTCTCGGATGCAACAAATTGATACTAGCTTTACTACGCAGTGTAAAGCGAAATTTCTGCAACGCGAAATTGTTGAATTTAATATATCTTCAAGCGTAAAAAGATCAGTCTATTATTTGTATCGAATCGAATCGTTTTGACCTTTAGCTTTTTAAATCTTGCATCAGGTACTGGACGCAGTTTAAAAATTCCACTTCTGTCTGGTCGAGCTTACAAAAGCAAACTATAATAAGAAAAGCGTTGTAAAAATAATATCACAGGACAGTCCGAGTTAGTCGCTTACATGTGTCTTATTTGTTTGTACAGAGAGTCGTGTTAAATTATACATTTACTTAGCGCATCACGTTACGAGAGCGAGAGGAAAAGTTGCATGGGGTCTTTATTTGCATGTTTTAATTATGAGAGTTATTTGTATCTACGCGTATATTTTATTACTTATGTCCGCGCGTATACTTTATTACTTATGTCCATGCATCTAAATCAATAACGATAATCTTAACGTTACAATACTGTAAAGCTGTCACAACCATATAATGTTTATCGAACCGTCAAGTTATGAGTTACGAGCGATTGAGCGGTCGAAAGGAGAATAAAAGAAAATGCGAATCTTTTTAAGGGCAAGATGTGTGACATTCTCTGTAATCTTTACAGAAATTTAATACTTGAAGGTAAATTACTTTATAAATAATTATAAAATATTTATAAATAAATTCTGATTAATTATTTATTTTGAGTATTAAAGCACCATTAATCCATTATTCAGTGCTTTAAAGATGTACTGGCGCTAACGTTGACTAATTCTAACATTGACAATAACTCGAAAATTTAATAAATTGATTCTATTTATTATCTGAAGACATATGTAAAACCTGAAGTCGATTCTCTATCTAGTTCACGAGTTATTCAATTTAATTTTACATGAGTTCTTATGAAATATCCCTAGTGGAAATAAATCGCTGAAATCGCTGAAAATCGCTGAAATCTATATTAGTTGACCCATTTTAATATAATTCATACTGAAATTAATTGATATAGATTTTAGCGATTTTCAGCAATTTCAGCGATTTATTTCCACCTAGCAGCAGCATATTCTCACTTATATCAACAAAATTATAAAGAAGCAACATTGCCAATATTCTAAAACTTTGTGAGTAAATAAAATACTGAGCAACGTTTCTAAAAAAAAAATCATATCGATTTACTAATCCGTTATCAAACTATTAACGATAAAGCAAAATTCCGAATGAGCTACATAATCTCACTTCGACTGCTCAAAACGTGGCAACTCAAAAGTGTCAATAGTACGAAGATTAGTTTACATATCTTTTTGATTTTTAAGTGCCATGTGATGTCTGACACATTAAATGTTATTAATATGCGACACGTCTTTCGTTTCTTACAGTTGATTTCAAGGAAAATTCACATCCAAAAGTTTTTACTGACGATTACAAAAATACAAATATATTCATTTAATTCATGTCAAATATCACATTAACTGACATTATTTAGGTTCTATAAACAATATGGCACATATTTTAACTTATAAAAGTATATAGAATTTCATCAATTTCAAATTTGGGTAACTTTTGTCTGGGACTGTATAGTCAGAACATTCTTAATATTTAAAATAATTAATGATTACCTTTCAATATTAATCCTTGATACACGATGATTATCCCGGTTCTTTACTACACACGATAGGTCGTTCGTGTCCCGAGTTTCATTACTTTAACAAATACACAAAAATTATTATGTGATCTTGCGTATACATTTTTAGAATTAGAAAATATTTATCAGGCTGTGTATTTAAAAAAAAAGGGTATAAATTACACCGCGTGACTTGTCCTTTCCTCTCGTATGCGTTACAAGCTTACATATTTATTTTGCCATGCAGTTAAATTATATGTATATTTATATACGGAATATCGCCAGTATATCAACGAACATATATACGTATATAACATCACTGCAAACGTAACATACAATAAGTCGCTCGACGAAACTTCTGTTTCATGTCACGAAACAGCAGGTGTGTATGTGCGTGATAACACGAGCTCGCCAAATCACATATAATATATATTTATACGTGAATGTTTCTCTCTCTCTCTCTCTTTCTCTCGTTTTGCCTCACACATATCATCGCGTATATATTTATTCCGTTAATAATGCATCCCGTTTTCTCTAGGCCGTGACTGTTCCTATTATAATATACCCCAACGTATATATATAGGCTCTTTATAGTTTCTTATTTCAAATAGGCTTTTTTTATATCTCTTTATATTCATCAAATATACATAAACAGGTAAACATTTGATTCTTTTGCCTTACATGCTATAATACGCGAATCATGCGCGATAAATACTTTCCTCTTGTATATGTGGTCTTTTTGTCATCAGTGTTTGTTTTCTGTAAAGCGTCATTTGCAGAAGGAGAAATTTACATTCGCTCCGATTATGCCATTTCCATTGTGGCTTTATATAATATTTTGATTGTATTACAGACACTTTGACTCCCTTTTTCTTTCTTTGTCTTTTGAACTATAAAAATACAATATAATTCCTCAAAGCCAATATCTCCGAGCAACTAAACTTTGCAAGAGAGGACACGAAATCTGATCGATGATTTCAACATGTTCTGCAATTTTTGTAATCGTTATTCGGCTATTTTATGCTATACTATATGTTTTTTTATTTTCATATCGAAACAATATTTAAATTTAATAAAAAAAAGCTTATAAACGTACACAAAAAAAAACTTTTTTAAATACGATTTTACGCATTTTTCTCGTAAAAAATTAAAAAATAATGAATTTTCTTTCTAAAAAAATTAATAAAACGCAAGCATGCTAAGAATTTAGATAAAACAAGATAAAACGAATTGCAAATAAAAATTTTAAGCCGTTAATTATCGAATCCACATTGTCATTTATAAATACAAAAATTTGTATATTTCTTATTTTTAACATTCAATAGATATTAGTCCCTTATCACGGAAAATACAAACGTGATGTCCATATTTGTGTATGTGTAATGTATATAATAGATATATGTATATATATCTTCTCATTTATAAATAATTTTTCTCTGTTCAACATCTTTTTAAAAATATAATGAGATTTTAGCTCACGTATTCTATACGTTAGTTGTCTAGTTATAATTTTCTATAATCGCGATAACTATTCTTTAAAATTATAATATAATTTTTAAAATTCGCGCATTTTTATAACCACAAAGATCTTTTTTCCCGTTAGAGCCTTACTTCTGGAATTTTATCAGGACTGAATATAAGAGTCCCTTTTATTATGTATATAGGTCCGTATTCAGAACGCGCTTTTATCTCCGAATTTCTATAATATACGTAACGTAAAGTATAGCATGTTAGCGCGCTAACATCGTTATAAGCGCGTTCTGAATACGGGCCATAGTATCGGAAATTCAATAATTATTTCGATTGGTAAGGTAAATGTCCCAGTAGCCGAACGTTTAAGCGTTAAGTTCTCATAAATAATACAATTTATAATATCAAAAAGGTTTTTAATATAAATATTTGTATTTATTTGAAAACTCAAGACTCCCTTATATAAGCAAGGAAAAATTATTTGAACCCACTTATAACAATTATTAATTAAAATATTTAAATAAATAATAAAATGCGTCAATGTACCAGTGGCCGGACAAGTCGGTCGGACTGAGACGTAATTGTCCCAGTGTTCGACCACAATTGGAAAATTAATATGCTGATGGGAAATAATAATATAAATAGATGTTTAATGACAAAAGACAATTAATTCAAATTGATCTTTAAGGTAAAAAAAAGCATTTGAGATTAATATTAATATAAATAAATAAAGTTTTGTGTAACTGTACATAGGTACTGTCCGATCCCAGTGACTGGACATGTAGGTATCTATGTCCGTACATAATCTATGTCCATTTACATAACACTTTATTCATTTAAGTCAATATTAGTCTCAAATACGCTTTTTAAAACGTAATATTATAATTTAATTTTAATTTTTAAATGCAATTAAATTATAATACTGTAATAAAAAAAGCATTTGAGATTAATAATAATAAATTTGGTGTAAGTCCGGACATGTCTTGATACTTGGACGTTTACCTTACATTAAAATTCTGTTTCTATAACAATGTGCGGAGAATTAATTAATCGTCTTCAGTCGCGAATTTCAAGCTCATTGTGCACACGATTAACTTGAAAGATTATAATTTTACTCTGTGTGTAACTCGGTAAATTTACGTGCGACAAACATTCATAAATCTATGTATTTTACTAAACGCGGCATAAAGAGAACGATTATATATAATATCTATTGCCAATTTTTTTGAATTTCTCGCTTGTAAGCTAAATTCCATATTGCATTGATTTTATATTGCGATAATCGTATGCGTTCGAGACATGATTTCGCAATCACATCGCGTCGATATCATGGAATAGAATCGTGGAAGTAACAATCATATTATCTAACGTATATAAATATTCCCGATTATTAATGTAAATAATAATATTCCTTTTTTTCTATAAATTTACGTCTCACATATTTAATACTAAAGTCTATTTTGGAGCATAAAATGTTTCCATAACGTCATTTAAGACGTTACAATATAACGTCTATTTTCTATAAACCCAATAGTGTCGCTATTCTCTTTAAACCTGATTTACGCAATTTTATTTTCGTGTAACGACGATATATTATAATCTTTTCAATGATATATTTTTTTCCTAGATAAAGTCCTGCTTTATTTAATCTTGTAAAACCTTTCTACTCTTTTTCTCGCAAGTTGGTGATATATAAAATTTCACGTTTCAAGATTTTCGAAATTATGTATCGAATATATCGCGTCAAAATGCGGAATATTGATAAGCCAATATCAAGTCCCAATTTTTCGATTTAGTATTATCATGCATATACATAACGTAGTATCTTATTTTATCCGTCTGACAATTTAAATAATGTCTGCGTTATTTATCCTGTGACATTTATAATCATATTATACTTTCATTCGGCAATTTGGCAGATTAACAGTTAAAGGTTTACCGTACTCATCCGTTAATCTTAGATCCCGCATTCCGTGAGAACGAAGTTGTCAGTGGACATTGTGGTCTCGTTAAGATGTAGCGTCGTCGTCGAATTGCCGACGCAATACGGCATTACCTTGCCGTGAAAGCAGGTACCAGAGCAAGTGTTGGTTATAATCAGTAAAAGACCGGAGAGCGCAGCCAGAATACCGGCGGTCATCAGGCCGAGCGCCGGAAGCTTCTTGGACGAGAGGACCGGCCCCTCTTCGAGCTTGAGATAACAGAGACCGGGTAGAATGTAAGCGAGCGGCACCGCGGCGAGGATTCCGTTCAACTCGAGAACGATGCCGAGGCAATCCGTCAACATGGAAATCAGGTATGCCATGCATATTATCGTCAAGGTGATTATCAGGTACTCGCGGTCCGAATTAGGCACATAAGCCTCGTGTCCCTCCAATTCGTCTGTGCCTTTTATTGCTGTCATGAGTACCTGGATCGATAATAAAAATCGCAATCGTAATAATTCTTGCAAATGCTCCGATTTACAAGAATTTACAAGAGTACGACTTACAGAGATTACTCTCATAAAAAAGACCCTATACTAATTAAATGGGTGGGTCTAATTTTCCTCATGATTAGTGCTGGATTTAATACTGGAAGGTAGTGATTAATTATTTATTTTGAATATTGAAAGCACTATCGTAAAATTCAAAATAAATAATTAATTACTATCTTTCAGTATTAAATTAGCCAGATTGTACAAGAAGATGAGCATCAGAGGCATTACCTCGCGCGTAACGAAGCACTCGATGGGGAAGGTAAGCAGTATGGTGCCGCTAAACATCACCCTAGCGAAATTCATCAGATCGTCGTCCCAGCAGTAATTCTCCATGAGATCGCCCTGAACATACGACGTGAAGGTCGCGTAACCGGCGATTCCGAAAGCCGCGGCGATCAGGAAAGACGTGAAGAGGGACCAATGTGTCACGATATCCCACTTCTCTTGGGTCGCTCTTTCAATTGAGCTGTAAATCAGGAAGGTATTGTGATGGCACATGAAGGCGAACGCCATTATACCGACGGACGGAACGATCCCCGGGAAATTGGCGAATCTCCAGCTGTCCTTCTGACTCGGACTGTAATCAATCGACGTCTATGATTACATATAAAGACTTTACAGGAGGTATTAGTGAACTATAGGCGAAAGTCTCACTTACACCAAGGCAGACATTGTGTCCATCCGGACGAAGATGGCGAGGAGAATAAATCCAACGCAGACTAGAGAGAGGAAGGAGATTTTTGCTAATCGCGCGACGTTTCTGTACAGACAAAGCGGCACGGTGATGCATAAGGTTGCCAGGAGGATGACGACTTGTCGATGAGCGAGAATGTTCGTCTCGTCCATCCCTGTCACTCTTATTAGAACCTTGGTCACTGTATCACCGACGACGACATTGTATGAAACCATTGCTGTAACATTAATAAAATTATTTCATAATTGCATGTTGATTAAAGGCTGATATATCATTTCCCTATTTAAAAAAAAAATAACGAAAAAAAAAAAATTTTTAGAAAAAAGGGGAAAACTATTTTTCAACTTATGATAGAAAATGATTCATCAAATAATCAACGAAAAGAATAAGTTCTTAACATGTATTTTTTCATTTATGTTTCACAATCTTTAAAAATCAACATAACTTTTGAAGTTATGACGATTTTTACTATTTTTGTTTAAAACTACCCTTTTCGAGTTGTGGCGATCTTTCTATAAAGTTAAATTAGTTCATTTTTAATTGATAGGATAATGTTTATTTAACTCGTTTATGGAGATTATTCGAAAAATTATATCTTTGAGTTGTGTCGACAAAAGTCGACGCAGATAGATAAATATCATTATATTATTTATTTATCTTTTATTAAGTTCTATAGGATAGTATTCTTTTGAGCACTCAACGTTCTAATACAAAGTACTAGAGTAACATTACATCAATTGTAATTTCTCACTGAACAGTATAAATGTAATATAATACCGTGTATAACACATGTTGTACATAACAATTACATTGTAGGAAATAATAACATTCATGTAATGCTACGGTTAGTATGAGTTGTGTGGGATACATACCTATGAATGGATAGAGTAACTGCAATATCGTAAGAATGTAGAAACCGGCGCGACCGAAACTCGCTCGCATCAGACCCTGATAGCTCATCTCGCCACAAATACGCCCGCTTCGCACCATGAGAATTAACGAATAGTCGGTCAACGCCGCTACTAAAATTAACAGAGCGATGCCGAGACCGAAGCCGGCTTGATGCAGAGCGTACGGTATTCCTGAAAAATTTATATTAATTTAGCCGACATACTTTAAGGGATGCGGCTTCACAGAATATCGAACGGATTTCTTTTATATTTTTGCGATCTTTCTGAAAATACGAGGTCTCGAAACTATCATTTTTTTTACATTTACCGATGACTCCGCTGCCGATGATGGAATTGATGAAATTGAAACTCGCGAGCGGCAGGCTGCTGAATTTGCTGGACTTGTCTTCTACTCCTTCATCCTACAAAATCCGTTGATATTAGAACGAATGTTTTTGTTTATATTAATAAGCTCTAAATAAGAACATCAACACATTCAGAGCTTCATGATTAAGTTAATTAAACATTGTGTATTCAGACTCGTACCTGCGAATATTCTACGAGCACATTTTCATGCTGATGAATATTAACGGTACGAGCGAGCGAAAATGTCATTCCCAAAGAGACGCATTATAATAGAAATACATGGGTTGTTGGTAAATTAGTTGGCAAGCAAGAGTTAAACGATTTACACGATCACAGTCAACGGAATAATTTGGAGCGATACCGAAAGCGAAGTAGAGGGGCGTCGTGATAAAAAAGTGCTCCTTGCAAGCGGGAATGATAGCGCATGTTCATACGTCAGGTCGAAGGCCAATGGCCGTGACAAATTGACGAATTGAGCGTCGAAAGAGTGCATCGTCCTGTCGGAATAACATTACGCGGGACCAATCGATAGGCCAATATCAGCGAAGCTACTTGGGAAATTTATGCTGCATGTCAATTAATTCGCTTTGTTGTTCGCGGGAATCTAGCCGTGTAGATTCGCAAATTAAAACGTAATGATTTGCTGTCCGTAGCGATTAATTCGCTCGTCGTTCCAAGAGGAAGATGAAACGGGTGAAAGGAAGCGAAATAGTTAATTTCTGTAGTTAATACACAGACAGCTAGATTTTGTTATCTAAAAATTTAGCTAATAGAATGAAAATAATTTTGTTTTTGGACTATCAAAATAACTATATACAACATTTAAATAAGTTGCTAGAATGTTCAAACTTTTTGCAGTATTTTCATCAACGCTTATGTGTTCTATATTGTATCTCATGAAAAGAACAATTTTACTAAAGTATCTAAAAATTTAGTTAAATATAAATCCGAGAAAATATTTGTTGAATTATCAAAATAATTAAGTAAGACACTCAAAGCTGGTATTGCTAGAATGTTAAAACTTCTTGCAGCATTGCTCATTATGCTTGAATGTCCTGTATAATTATTTTGACTGTCCAACAAAATTATTTTCAGATTTGTATCTAACTAGAATGAAATAAATTTATTACTTCAGCTTACATTGCCAAGAAGGGATTTGATTTAAGATCTATCTAGTTAAATTTTAGATATTTCAGCAAAACCATTCCTTCCGTGTAGATATACAGTTCTTACCCTAACTAATCGTCTCATGTCATCATAGGATTCTTCCGATGCGATGCTGCCGACCTGTTGAATTTTTGAAACAATGCATTAGTCAGTCATAACAACAATCATGTACGGTTTTCAAGACCGATTCTTCTTTCGCTCGCATATCGAAAGAAAACCCAAAAGGGTAACGCGCTCTTCTCTCATCCCTCTCGTCCGTCGCTTACACTTTCCCTCGTTTGTAAATGCTCGTGCACCCATACGAATACTCTTTATTGACAGTCCCAGACGGATATAATAGTTCTTTGCGAAAAAAAAAAAAAATCAGCGCAGGAGAAATCACGGAGGCATTGAATGAAACGAGCGTATCGGGCGAAATGTCATCGCAGAAATTTCTCATCGCGGATGGAATTGTTAAGGGACTCTCCCTCTCTCTTGCTCTACTCTCCCTTCTTTTCAAGATGACGGAAACTTCAATCTCAAAGATATCAGAACCGCTTGTAAGAAGAGGAGCCGTAATTGCGCGTTTCTGTTCGCGCGATTACAAGCAGGAGAGAATCGAGAGAAAATCACGCGAAATGGAATGAAAATTACGACTTTCCTGCGCTTAAAAACCGTGCGGATTAAGAGCAGCTAGAATTAACGAGGTAGCGAAAGTAGCGTCGTAGTAACTTTCTCGTAAACTTTTTACGTGGCAAAACTGAGAGGATACTCGCGATTTTCCAACGCGTCAAAGTTGCAAAATTATTTTACAAATCACACGACGGAGTTGCTCGAGTTATGCAGCGACTATCTACTTTCCAGTTGAGACCAACTAAAAGTAACATATCTGTGCTATAATTTCACACTCAACATAAATGTAATATAAGTTCAGAGTTGAAAATGTTACTAATGTCTATTTCTACTAACTTTATCCTAGATTCTTACTTACTCTTCTTCATCTTTTTCTAATTCTTACAAGGGGAGACTTCGAAGTAGCCCTCATCGATTTTAATGAAACTTGGCAAGATTAAAAATGTGTACTCTTGAATATAAATTATCCTCCATTTAGTAGACGGTCTACTACCATTTTTGAAATACTTCAATATTAAATTTGATAATGACATTTCCTTTACGGTTAATTAGAATGTTCATGCTTGAATATTTATAATTATTAATTAATTGCTAGTGTGGTTTGAACTCGAGTCTGTAAGAGGCTGTTACCATATCCTCTACGCTACAAAATTAATACTCGAGTATGAATGCTTTGATAAACTAAAGAAAATGTTATCAAATTTAATATTGAAATATCTCGGAAACGGTAGACTGTCTACACCCAAATGAAAGGTGATTTGTATTCACAAGAGAACATACTCTATAATCCAGTTAAATTTCATTCAAATCGGTGAGGGCCATTTTGAAATCTCTTCTTGTTAGAATTAAAAATAGATGAAGAAGTCGAACCAAGATTAAAATTAAATTACGTTGGTAGAAACGAGCACAATTCATAAAAGCAACGCGTTACCGTTACTTTTTATAAAATAATTTGTTACTTTTTTATAACGTTAAAGTAAGATATTAAATTTTTTTTTTAAATTACATTATTTAATAATCAATATTAATTTGTGAAAATCAATTTTAAAGCTTAAAATTCTAAGCTATTCTTATAGTAAGATTTTCTTTATATTAAATTTATATTTAATAAATCTTCTTTATATTATAATATTATTTTTTAACAAATGCTTATCTTATATTATTATATATCTTATATTATTATCTTATATTATTATATTATTATTATCTTATATTATCTTATATTATTTTTTAACAAATGCTTATCTTTATGAGGAAATTAGATTGTAATTTACAAACGCAGATTTTATTAAACATTGTTTGTAAACATTAATCGTTATTAAGAGTTCATTCTAATATTCACCATCAATACTGAAAATTTATAGTTCATACATATGTATATGTATGCTACTATTGGCAGTGACTATCGGAATTCAGCCTAAGATATAAGTACAAAACATTTTTCGATATTTAAATTTCTATAAAAAAATATTTAAATTTCTATTTTATAAAATATTTTAGTCATTTAAAAAAAAAAATATCTATTGAATAATTAAAGATAATAAAAGATTAAAGTAACAGTAAAAATAATGTTATCGTTACAGAGAAAAAAGAAATGATCGTTATCGAAAAAAATAATGAAAACGGTAACAGCGTTATCTCCCGACTTTGAATAAAATACATGGTGTTACACGACAGTTACATTATTGAGTGCGAAGTTATAACACGGATGTTATGTTACTTTTAGTTGGTGTCGACTGGGACTAAAAGATCCCGAGAGATACATTTATTTCCTGAACAAAATTTCCTCTAGTACGCGGAAAAAACATCATATGACAAACAAGAAACATAAACGTATTTTGCTTTGCAGCATATGTTGCTGATGAAAACTGATAGCGAATTCGGTTAAACGCATTAATGCATATTAAAGTCATTGTACACCGATTTAATTTGAGCGTAAAAGTGAAATGTAAATATTTTAAATTGTTAAATACATATTTTACTTAATAGCAATAAAATGTATTGAGGATTTCATGGTTTATGTCCAATCGAATCTGCTACGACAATTAATTATTTTTACTTGGATTAGCAGAAATAATGATTTTATATATTGCGAAATGTTATGCAGATATTTTATATCGTATTACGAACATATATATAGAAGCTTAGAGTGCAATCAATGAAAAAACCTATGCTACAATCAATCAATTTTGTAATCAATTTAATTAAATCTAAAAAAAAATATTACGTCTATATCAATATTGTACTTTCATTACAAAAAATTTAAATTTGCGTAAAAGCAATTCAAGTTGTAAGACTTCTCTTTCACTTTACGGGAACTTAGACGTTTTAAATTGCAAAATATTCGAATAATCCTTTCGTAAAATGTAACATCTGTGAATAAAAGTACCATAATTTCCGTACTTTCCATTTAAATTAAATTCCGCCAGTATATTCTAGGATATCAAATAATTTTTATTCTGTTTTATTCGCGCAGCAAATCTCGATAAAACGTAAGAAAAAAAAGACGTCGGGAAGAGAGAACATATACGAAAGAGAGATGCGAGACGTTCTCTCCTCGCGGTTTAATGATCTGCACATCGCTTTGCCGGCAACGATTTTTCGTTGCCGAAAAGCAAAATAGAGACATGTTCGGTCAACGCGGAAGACCATGTCCTTCGTTGAACAGAGCAAGATAAAGACGGCTTACTCACATCCTCGAAATTCTCTCTCGCATCCAGGATGTAGCTCTTCTCGTTGACATCGGACGCGGCATGGACCATCCTGATCTTGTGATCAGGATCCTTTGGCGGTGAAGGCGGCCTAACTTTAACAGGAGAAATGATAGCGCGAAAAAAACTAGTGCGAAACTTAAAGGGAGGGAACGAGGCTCGCGGGCAGGTCCGTAGACGTCTGAAGTTCCGGCCTATCTTCTGCCCCTTCTTCAGCCTCACGTCTTTCCCCTCTGGCTATCCGTTCTCCCTCTCTTGTACACTCGATCCGCTTCCCTTATTCTATCCCTCTACTCACGCACGCGCGTACACATATTTTCACCAATTTCTCCCTTCGTCTCCACCGCGAGCTTCAATCACACCCCATTATTCTCCTCCCCATTTTTATCCTCTCGCTTCTGTTCTCGGTAAACCGGGGATCATCAGGCTCGTATCTTCTTTGTTTAGCAACATGTACACCCACGTATGCACACCCCTCACACCCTCCCTTCCACCCCCTTCATTCATCTATCTCGTCCCACCCTCGCAGCCCCCTAGCTTTCTCCCCCGGTTAACCGGTCGCGTCCTATTTCTTTTCTCTCGTGCTTTCCCTTCGTCGAGTATCGAATCGCGGGAACGACTGGCAGCTGGATTTATTGATTCCGCGACGTACGTATCTTTCCCGTCGGTGATTTCAGTTTCACCGAAACTATATTTCGCGTACAGGACTCATCCTGCGTTTTATTTTTTTTATGAAATACGTAAGCCGCGCGCGCACGAGTTTCCGCATCAGATCGTTACGATATGCACGGGTTTAACATAAGCTCGATATCTCGCTGTTTGAGAAACAGGTCCGATACTTTATAAAAATTGAATTTTCTAGTTTCCAATATTAACTTATCAGTCTATTAGCTTTACATCAATCTTGTAAATTACCTATCAACAACATACGTTCGTACAAGATTTTCTCTAATGCTCGATAAATTTCTACCTGCAATGTAAATTAACTTTTATCTTAATTTGATTTACTTACCTTTTCGTAATTCTTAGAGAATTAGAAAAAGATGAAGAGTAAATTAAACCGAGATTAAAATTAATCTACATTGGTAGAAATGGACAGAAGTTTACTAGCGCTAGCATCTCCGTGCGGGTAATAATATAATTAAAGATCTTGAACACGCCAGTAAATCTCACGGCAGTTTTCAGATATATTTACAATTCTATATTACATTTTTACATGTTTGAACAACAATTTCACATCATAGATTCTCAGAAGAGAACCTGTCGCAGAGTATAATTATTTGATTGTTCGTTACCGAGACCGCTGTCGAGGCAACGCACGAGGATAGTTTCAAGTTTTTAGTTACATTTTATACACAGTTTTAATATAGGAACAGAAACGCGCGAGAGAAAGAGAGAGAACGTTAGTTACGAGCTTCAGCCGCTGCCAATCGTTAACAACTTCTATCACACACATTTCCAGTATTATTTTATACGAAAAGATAGTCTGCTGCAACCGTTATCGACATACGTGCGTCTTTCTGTACCTATCTTAATTTTGATAAGTGCTTCATGCCTTAATTCCGTTTAAAATCTTTTTGATACACATTTCACGCGAATTTATTTTGGTTATTGATGCCTCGCATTTATAACGTTAAAAACAAATTAAAATATTATTATGTTTCTATATACGTGATTAATAATGCACTGACTTAAATAGTGTTTTTATTTTGTTAGACTTATCGTTGCAGAGAAATCAAACTCAGCTAGGCGAGACATAAAATCAGGAGATACGGTAGTGTCTCGGCGCTAAGCCAAGCGCATTCTTATTTACATAAACAGTCACACATTAGCAAAGCGAGAAATTAGAAAAATATATTTAATTTCTTGCAGCGTAATTGGCTAAAAGTGACAAAGATGTGGACTGTATTTTGGACACATGATTAATACAGTACGTGTTATGCAGTAATGAAGATAAATAGAGTTGTATCAATTTCGAGAATGCTTGAAAACACATCTTCAGTATTATACAATGTCATACTTGAGGACATTAATTAATATTTAAACGTTTCTTATTTTAAAAACTATTACAGCCTTGACATTTTGATACTAGGATTTTCATCTCCAAATTATCTCAGGAGTTACTAACGGGTATCAAGATGGGTTTAGAACCTTGTATACATACAGCTTATATCATATAAAAAATCTAAATGTAATTTAAAGAATAATTCACGTTAGTCGATAAATCTTTTGTTATTCGATTTGTGTCTTATTCAAAATACCTCCTTTTTCTGCGATTACACTAAACATAGAGAAGTTCCATTGGAGACACAATAGTTTAAATAATAAAGCTGCGTATTTTATCTCACACAATGTACATTTTATATATCAAAATACAAATGAGTGATTCGATAAAATATGAATCGAGAGGACTAGATTGCAATTCATTGTTAATAATGCCTTCGAGGTTTTGCAATCGAAAAAATCTTTTATAACATTCTCAATGGTATTCATATCTCAATGGTAGCATTTGCATGTGCTTGAGATATTTCACTCTATTGTATTAATTAAACACACCGCAAACGAGAATGCGCAAATATGACTGTGAATAAAAAGAACCTAACAAAAGGCATATCTATATTAAGTGCATTCCTAAAATTCGCGCTTTTTATGTCGAAAAATCGAAAATCAATTGTACGTCAATTACCGTGCATTGTAAACAGCAAGTTCGATAAAATCGGAAATAATCTTCCGTTATGACTGATCACTCTGACTCATATATCCTCACATACTTTATCAGTAGTAAGCGACGCGGTGCTGAATTGCATACGAAATTGGATTGGAATCTTAACGTGATTCCTTCCGCGTTGCACATCATCGAACGACAGTCGTCGGGATTGTGCAACGTAGTGTAAGTACACTTTTCGTCGAGACCCTCGAATAGTCATGTCGCAGCATCTCAAGAAAGTCTCGACGGGTCTTGACGGTGAGGTACCACCACCCAACCATTGTTTCCGGAAACAGCAGGCCCTATCGTCGGCGCGGCAGCGGCACTCGTTAACGCCCCCCTCTGATCCTTCATGATCTGCAATTGTCGCGTCAGGTTGCGACACAATTTCACCAGGGACTCCTGAAAGTCATCGCGTTAATCGCGATAATCATCGAAGTTGAAGACTTCTTAAACTTAAGGATTTTTTTTTAAGAGTTAGATTATCAAGTAATGAGAACTAATCCACTGGATCCAACGGTGCAAGCGAATGTAGAATTTATACAAAGAGCAATATAAAAAGGAAAAACCTTTTCATCTTCCAGTTTCCGTAACTCCTGCTGCTGTCGGAGACTATCGAGGCTCAGATTCTTCAACATCTCGTTCTTATGCTGGCTTAACAACGCTATCTCCGTTTGGACTTTGAGGTATTCCTCGGCTATCTGCTTGTGCTCCTCGAAGATCTCTCGCGAGAGTTTGCACGTGTCGTCGGGCGTGAGAGGCCTCAGGTCGGCATCAAGTAGGCGACAAAAGTCTTCGGTTGTAGTGCTGCTACCTACGGCATTCCAAGATTTTATCACGGATGTTGAATCATGAAATTCGTCATATCCGGCTGCAATGAAATACGCATTATTAAGAATATATAGTCTTAAATGTACAAGTGTAGACTTGAGCGTATCTTCAAAATATTACAAGATTACATGTTTGCACTGGCAAACAATTCGTGAAGATTATCATATCGAATTAGTTTATCAAACTACCACGCGCTTCCAGTCTTGCTAGGTATCCGAAAACGTAATTCCTCTTAATTCTAAATACTTCTATTCTGCATTTTCGATGAATGTGTACTAACGCAGTAGGACCCAGCAGCGTTTGAGAGTGTCGGTACTAACGATCTCCGGATAGTCGTCGCACATGTCGATCATCTAGCAGCCGCTGCTCTCACGCGAGCCACAGTTACCTCGACGACGTTAACGTCCACGATTATCCTCCGACAATGTGGCCGATCCTGTCGGCATAATTCCTTCGGTTCCTCGGAATCAGGTTCGGGTCTCCATCCTAGGATGTAAAAGGCAGCAGTCTCGAAAACAGCGTGATAGAGAATCGTGGCAATATCAAGAATCTCACTGGGACGGCTGAATTCTCATAATTATTGCGGTACCGCTAATGGCTTAATTAATGAAATGATCCGGGAATGGCCGTGTTCAAAAAGTATATCAATTCCCGGTCGGATCGATCGATGTGTCCTCGATAAAATCGAGCTCGTATTGCGCGCTTGGCGACCTGCGATCGGCGGGAGATGCTCCTCCGTAGGGAGTCGGCTCTCTACTAAACAAACGTACGTCTATATTGGGGATGCTGACTCAGCCACACCTGCTTCTAAATACTCCCCACCCTGGTTCCTACGTCGAGGAACGTCGCGGAGCGTATATGCGAGCCAAGAACAAAACGCGCTTCGTGGCTTGATTCATCCTCGAGAGAATCTCATGATTTTTTATTCGTCTTGCCGTCGTCTCTTTATCATCTTCCTCCTCTCTCATCCTTTTCTTTTTTGCGCATAATGCCTTAGTTTTTTCTTCTTTCTTCTCAACGTTTCTTCCACTATTTCCACAAACGTCTCTCCTCCTCACGTTTCCATCTCTGCTGACGCGATGGTCATCCTCTTCTTCGTCGTCGTAACGTGCCAATCAAAAGCGAGTCACACGTCCTACCGATTAGTCGTCAGTTAAATTTAGTGCACGCGCACATCGCGGTTGCTATTGCGGCTATACGGGCCCTTTGCCAGGGTACACCACCGGCGAACTCCACCGATCGACGAACCCTCGATGAATATAGCATGCTGAGCTTATAACTCGTCCCTTCTCCGTCTTCTGGTCGCATCTTGAGATTGACCGCAATTAAATTATTTATACGGTTGTCGCTATATAAAAATATATAATCCAGTACATATATGAGGAAATACTTTTGTCTTTTATATATAGACAGTAGTATATATTTGTGAATTTTTACAAGCTTCATGAGCAAAATTACTTAACAAGATTTATATGTCACATATAGATCCATATAAATATATTATCGAGAAAGA